CCGCGTCCCGCGCCCCCCTGCCTGCCCATTGGCCCGCCGCTGCCCGCCTTCTTGTTGGTTGAACCCCCGCCCCGTGCCCGCCCTGCGCCCGGCCTGGCCCGGCCCGGGGAAAAAGCCTTAATTGGTAAAATCGCCCAAGAGCCGGGGGCAGGGGGTGGATGTGGGGGCGCGCCACGAGCTCTAGCGCCCTGTCTGCCTGGCGACACCGCCCCTCACTCCCCCCTCCCCGCCCGATGAGCTCACCGCCTGGGCGAGGGCCACCAGGCCCCGGGGTGGGGATGGGGGTGGGCGCTCGCCTCCAGTGCCTTCATTATCTGCAGGGCCCAGGTCTAGGCTCCACCACAGTAACACGGGGTGGGTGGCTGGGTTGGGGGAAACCAAGCACTTCCCAGCTCCAAGGCCAACCCCTCCAGGAGCCACCACAGTCGCGCCCCTTCTAAAGCACAAGCTGGCTAGGCAAGTGAGATTGTGCCCTCCGGGGTGGGGGTACAGCAGTGAGCCCCCACCACTGTGAGGCCCCTGCAGGTCTGGCTGGGAGCCAGCAGCAGAAAGGGCCTGGGTTCTCAGGAGAACTGTCAGGTGCAAGCCCACCCCTCGGGGGTGTTCAACCAGAGAACCACAGGTCTGTGAGTCTGGTGGGTACAGCCACACCCTGGCACTGCCAGGCTCCCTCTTCCTCTTCTACGAGCCCATTTCCTGGCAGCTTACAATTCAGCTCAAATGTCACTTCCTCAGGGAAGGTCACAGAAAGCAATATCATTTTTAACATTATGATCACAATCCCCAGTGAGAAGGATATTTTACATCCTGAGCTGATATACGCATGCATGCACATGTGCACACACATCGAAATGTGTACAACTGACACATCCCACAAACTGAGGCTTTCTAACCACCTGCAAAGTACTGGGACCTTTCCTATTCAAAAATAGAAGGGAAAGAAGGGGGAGAGAGGGGGCAGCTTAATACTAAAAACAAAGGCCTCACTACACCTGCATTTTACATCCTACCCCTGGCAGCCCGTGGTCGCCTCAATCTCCTTGACAAGGATTCTGAGCTCAGGCCCACACGGTGGTTGTGTTGCAGTCCACAGTCAAGTCTGTCTCTGGAGGAGGGAAACCCACCCACCCTCAGGCATCACAATCTGAGCCAGGGCTGCAACTGGTGATGGGCGCACAGAAAAGATGGTGGCTGGGCCCAGTCTTAGGCCCCCCACTGCATCTGAACTAGCCTCCACTCCCCCCCTCCACATACAGTCTAAACACAAACAGTCCTTCCTCTACTTCCTCCAAGTCTGGGTGGGAGCAAGGTTAGCGCAGCACTCGCTGTTCCCTGGTGCAGATTGCAGTCAGCTTTCTCCTTCTGTGGAAAGCAGTGGAAAACTGCTACCATCAGCTCCACCCGCCCCCCCCAACCCAGACAAAGGCTGCTGCCTCCAGCAGCCATGCCAACAGGAACGACAGGAACCGATATTTTCCAAGGTTCGAAACAGCAGGCTTTTATTCAATCTACTGCTTTGATTGTAACAATCTTCAACACATTAATTCTCACTAGTCATCATCTTCTGACTTTTGTTACCATGTGAGCAAATGTTTCAAAGCATCTGAATACAAGTTAAAATGCAAAAGATATTAAAAGATGTGTGACGCAGGAGGATACTGAATTCAAGGTCTGCCAGGTCAACACGGTGAGATTCTGTCCAAAAACCAAACGGAACAAGAAACCTGCCAAAGATGCTTTTTCAAAAAAAGATTTTTAGCGATAGGGTGTATGTGCTCACAGGAGAAACCGAGATGGAGAGACAGAAAGTGAGAAATCGCCTCTCACTCCCCATGGGGGAAGGCCATCCCGCAATCCCAGGATTTTGGGCATGCATGCACATGTGCCTGGCATGACAGAAAGTGAGAAAGCAAGCTGCCAGGTCAGGGACTGAAACCCCAGTTGACTATGTGGGGGTCCAGCAATGTAACCATTACACCATTTGCTGGTCCCCACAAAATATACTTTAATATCCTTGCAGAGAAAAGTTAAATAGTGCATTGCTTAGTATTAAGAAGATTCCGCTCTTGGGGCCAACAGGTAGCATGGTTAAGGCATTGGACTTCCACATGGCCAACCTCAGTTCAAGTCCTGGATCTGGTGGCTTTGTCTCTCTCTCTTGTGAGTTTACGTGCCCTATAGCAAATTTTAAAAAATAAGTAAATTGAAATACATAATTATTTTTTAAAATAACAAATCATTTTAAAAATAAGAATGATTTAATTTTACTTATTCATTCATTTATTTTAATTTGACCAGAGGAAGACAGACACACAGGAAGAAGGAAAGTGAGAAGGAAAGTAAGGCACTGGACACTCCCACATGTCTGGGACTCAAACTGTGGTTGGCCATGTGGGAGTGTCCAGTGCCTTAACAACCACACCACCTGGGGAACCCACCAATCTTTTTGTTTTTAAAGAATTATTTCATTGGGACCAGCAGTTAGCAATAATCGCTATGTCGCTGGACTCCCACGTAGTCAACCGCGATTTGAGTCCCAGACCTGGTGGCTTAAACTCACTCTGGGCACGTGTACATACGTGCCCAGAATCCCAAGAGGAGAATGGAGGAGAAGGGATTGTGGCGTGACCATCCCCCCTGGGGGGTGATTTTTCACTTTCTGTCTCTCTGTCTTTCTGGTGAGCGCACGTGCCCTATAGCAAAAACCTCTCAAAAGAAATAAAAAAGAGAATTATTTCATTTAACTTTATCCATTTATTTATTTATTTATTTATTTAAATTTGACCAGAGAGGGAGTAAAAGAGAGAGAGAAGGAGAGAAAGTAAGAAAGCAAATTGCTAGTTCTGGGACTCAAACCACAGTCGGCCATATGGCAGTCCAGCGCCCTTAACCACCATGTCACCTGCCAGTCCCAGATTTCAATCTTTTTTATTTTATTTATTCATTCATTTAAAAAATTTGATCAGAGAGATAGAGGCAGAGAGAGAAAGTGAGAAAGCAAGTCACTAGGTCCAGGACTCGAACCATGGTTAACCACGTGGGAGTGTTCAGCACCTTAACCACCACACCACCTGTGAGAAAACAAGCTGCCAGGTCAGGGACTCAAACCCCAGTTGACTATGTGGGGGTCCAGCAATGTAACCATTACACCATTTGGTGGTCCCCGCAAAATATACTTTAATATCCTTGCAGAGAAAAGTTAAGTATTGCATTGCTTAGTATTAAGAGTTCAATCTTAAACTTTAACAGCTCAATGAATTTCTCACATAGATCCTGAGAAATGTTTTCACGATGATTTTTGTTTCCTTATAACTTCCAGAAATGCTGAGACTACAAGTTATACAATATTCTGCCTAGAAGCCATCCCCATCTTTAAAAGAGAAAAACAGTTTTCTTATTCTTTTTTTTAAAAGGTTTTTGTCATAGGGCACATACATTCACCAGAGAAGAGAGAGAGAGGGAAGGTAAAAAATTAACCCCTGGGGGTGGCCATGCTGCAATCCTTTCTCCTCCATTCTCCTCTTGGGATTTGGGGCATGCACATACATGCACCAGGTGTGATTTTTAAGCCACCAGTTCCAGGACTCAGACTGCAGTCAACCATGTGGTAATTCAATGCCTTAACCACTATGCCACCTGCTGGCCCCTAGTTTTATTTTTTACTTAGAATCTTCACTAGAAATTCTTCTCACCTGGGGCCAGCAGGTGATTTGATGGTTAAGACACTAGACTCCCACATGGCTGACCACAGTTCGAGTCCTGTACCTGGCTGCTTGTTCTCTCATTCTCTCTCTCTCTGGTCAAATTTTTAAAAATGATAACAAAGTTAAATAAATCATTATTTTTAATATGCTTTACAGAAGGAAAAAAAAATTTCTTCTCACCCAAGTTGAACCCCAGTGGCTTCTCTGCCTGCCCTTCCCAGAAAGATCCCTCTGGAGACCCTCAGATTACCTTGGACATGCCCTTCCCAGCCCTTCTCATGACTGGGGACCCCACCTGGGAGCTCTCTGAGGCAAGCTGAGGACAAGGTACTGGCTGGGGGAACAGCCTTCAGCCTCCTAATGCCATCTGTGGTGGGACCTCATAGTGGGACAAGGGGGTGCATAAAAGGCAGAGTGCCGAGGCAGGTGCGGGGGGGGGGGTTCCTTAGGGAGAACGCAAACCTAAAATTCCTTGACCTCATAAGGAAACAGCTTGGATCCCTACGGGAGGGTGATGTGGGGGAGGACTGAGCAAGCATTCTGTACACACATGCTTCTGGGAGAGGGGCCAGCATTGCAGAAGCCGGGAGAGGTGCTGGGGAATCAGATTTTGCTAAAATGTATTATAAAAATCCACAAGGCGGCCTGCGAGGTGCTGAGTCCAAACTGTCCTCTCTCCCATACTACTCCCAAAGATAAGGGACAAATCCTGTCCCAGGCTTTCCTGTCTCATGCTGCCTTTTAGTGTCTCTGGGGACCCACGCACCTCCTCCAACATGGCTTGGGACAGAGTAGGGCCTGACTTTTAGTCTAAAGCCAGGTGGACAACTCTTATTCCTTAGAGCCTTTGTGTGTGGTCCAAACGGGCCCCATTGCCCCACGGCTTCCAGTGGCTCCCTCTTCCCGGTGCACAACTCCCCACGGAGAACTGGTCTGTGACCCTCAGCAACAAGGCTAGACAGCCTGGACCTGACCAGAGTGCTCCCCTCTTTGATGTCACCATTCGACGACATATGCGGGAATGTGAGTGGCACCTCATCTCGTCAAGCTCCCACTCCGGGGATGGTCATGCTGGCTGGCTTCACAATAGGGCTCTCAGGTTCTCTCCACTATCCCCAGGACATCTGTTTTCTGAATAAGGCTCTCACAGACTCCCAGCCACAGTCCAGGCTCCTGAACAAGCCTCAGCACCCTTCTGCTCCCTGCCTGGTGACCTCCTGGGTCAGGCTGGGCTCAGGGGCCATTCCAACGGGAGAGAAACCCCCTCCTCGCTCAGTGCCCCAGGCGGACGGACTGTGGGTCAGGCGGGCACACGCTGTCCCTGCACGCATCACACGGCGCCTTCTGGCCATGCCCATTGGCACGGCCGGGCCCTTTCGAAGGCTGCTTGCTCCTGGAGTGCTGGTGGCCTCCTGGCCCAGTGCCCCATTTCCTCCAGGGTGGAGCCAGGGAGGCCGGAGGGAAGGAGAGGAGAGGGAGGCGGTGGGAACCGGCGGGTGCAGGTGCGCAAGGGGCCGCGCAGACTGGGAAGGCTGGCCTGGGGCAGGGGATCTGCGTGAGCCGCGTAGGGGCCAGGCCCTGGCGGGCAGGCACTG